AACCCTTAAGATTTCAACTGATGACACTTTCCTTCAGGAAATCAAGGCAGGGTACACTGAAGACTCCTGGTGTAAAATCTTAGCCTCCACCACACTGAGCTTACCAACTCTTCAACTGTGTGACGACCTCTGGTTACGAGTCCTCTGAGTTTACGAAGAGACTTGTTTATTACCCAGGATCTCAGGACTTTTTTCAGCGCGGTAACACTGAAATTTGACTTTCTCCCACGAACGTGATTTCTTCCCACGATCATCTGCTTGGTTTGCCTACATGACTTTCCTAGTCTACTTGACCATTCCTTGATTATTACTGTCTTTTAGCCCTATCCAGGTTGTCGTTGATGTAGGTTGTGGCTAATATATTGCTCTATTTGGCTTCCAGACTCTGATGAATGAATGCATTGCCTCTATTTTCATGTTCATGCAACTCAACTTGTTTACATTGAAGGTACAACAATTAAGGTCCTGACAACTTGTGCAAATGAGCCCATGCTCTGGTGAAACAGGCCACAGGAATGTACTGAGCAGTTGGTGAGCATAAGGCAAAAAAGCGAAAATACAAACCTACTTACCTGGATGGGAACTCAACCATTTTGTAAATGGCTTTGTGGAGCATGTTTGTGGAGTGCGTAGGTATTGAATTGAGTCCACGCCCATGCGAAATGGACCACAGGAAGGTACTGAACAATTGGTGAGCATAAGGTAAAAAAGCAGAAATACAAACCTACTTACCTCGATGGGAGGTTGACCATTTTGTAAACGGTTTCATGGAGCTTGTTCGTGGAATGTGTAGGTATCAAATGAAGTCCACGCTCATGCGAAACGGACCACAGGAAGGTACTGAACAATTGGTGAGCATAAGGCAAAAAAGCGAAAATACAAACCTACTTACCTCCATGGGAAGTTGACTGTTTTGTAAACGGTTTTGTGGAGCTTGTTCGTGGAATGCGTAGGTATTGAATCGAGTCCATGCTCAAGCAAAATGGACTGCAGGAAGGCACTGAGAAGTTGTGAGCATAATGGTGAATATTCCGCATCAAAAGGAACGACTCACAAGTTGAGTCATGGAAATTTCCGAAAATGACGTACTTCCCTTGCGGGCTACCTTCCATTTTGAAGGTAGCCTGCAAGGGAAGTACGTCATTTTTGGGCAATGCCGTGACTCGTCTTTTTGCCCTTATGCCAACCTCTGCCCAGCAGTTAGGGCAGTCAAATGGGTCCATCACTGATGGGCCAGCGGTGTGTGACAGGCGCCCATCAACAGCGGGCCAGCGGACTTGGCCAAGCTGTCAAGAATTCGGCCTTGCGAATGACTGGGCCGAGACTCTAAAATAGGCCATGCGACATGGGTGGGCCGCACGAACAGAGCCCCATAGAGGACAGATCGGCCCACTTTGCCTCTGGCGCCCATGGGTTGCGCCCAATGCACGGATCCCATTGTTCTTTCAGGCAGTTAACCAGAGTGCTGCCTCGTTAGTACCACTGTGGGGGACCACACAGGAGAAAGTTAAATAGATATATTATTAACCTGTTGTATGTGAAGTAAGTATTTAAATGTGTTGACAGCAGCCTCGTTGTTGCGCCTGCAGGCAACAACAGGTGAATTTTTCACCATGGATGGGCAGCATGAAAAAAAGCCCCTCATACAATGGGTCAGCCCACTTTGGCAGAGGTTTATGGCACCCATGCACTGTGCCCATTGGTCTCATTGGCGAGTCCCAACCTGTGCAATTCTTTTGCGCTCCATGAGAGGTGCAATTCTTTTGCACTCCATGGGGGGCGCAATTCTTTTGCAGTCCAGGGCGCAATTATTTGTGCTCCAGGGTGCAATTACTTGCGCTCTATGGGGGCGCAATTCTTTTGCGCTCTAGAGGTGCAATTATTTCAAGCTCCATGAGAGGCGCAATTATTTGTGCTCCAGGGCGCAATTACTTGCACTCTATGGGGCGCAATTAGTTTGCGCTCTAGAGG